CAAATACTAAGATTTCCTCCAACCTAGTAGCGATGGCCTCCAACCTATTAGCGATGGCCTCCACTGCAAATTCATGCAAATACTGGGATGTCCTCCAACCTAGTAGCGATGGCCTCCAACCTACTAGCGACTTCTAATTTTGGTCACCCGCACGCCATTCCCCGCCGCTGGGTGCCATCATCAGGTCATTCCCAGCACAGAAATCTTCTGACAGCAGGGGTTATCCGTTCAAACTCCAAAACCAGATCTCCAAATAAAGAAAGAAGCTGATCCGCTAAGATGCTGATGGCATCCAAGGTGGTCGTGTGACCGCCATGTGGGAAGGTATCCAAGAGAACATCTGCGTGTCTCAAGATCCTGGGCCCGGACCAACCACGACTACCTACCTGGACAAACCACCGAGGAAAAGCACGTTTGTCAGCTCGGAATTGGAATCAATGCTCCCTCAATGCCCGGCTTTCTGTGAGCGACATGTTCACCAATGAACTGCAATCAATTAAAGAAAGACTGCAACCAATTGAACATTTGCTGGGGGCTCGCAAGGGGCTGAGTTTGGGGGGGACAAAGAACGACTATCATTAACTGTCCAGAAGTCCAGAAGTAGCTGCTAGCGTTCTGCATCGGCAGGAAGCACAGCCGCTTAGCAGAACTTGCATCCACTTGAGCCATCAACCTGCAAAAACAAGGAGCGCTACAGCAACAAAGCTGCAAAGCTCCTGAAGAGCTACTGGCAGTTGGAGAATCCCTTGGCCGGCTTGGATTAAGCTGGCTGGGGATGAATTTGGAAGTTGGAAGGTGTTGAAGGTCTCAGTGCTAAGCACATCACCTCGTTACATTCAGGAGTTTGTAGTGGGCAAATATAGTGGCTTCTGTGCATCTGTCACTTGCAAGGGCCCGCGTGCGTACGTGTCTATTTGGTTCTGAACAGTTCTTCCTTCTCCGGAAATCGCCGGGGAAATCGCCGAAGGACCGGGAAAATCCCCCTGATTGGTCAATGCTCCATGCACTCCCTGGCTCGGTATGCTAAGCTGCTACGCGCTGTGATCCTGCTTGGTCGGCCGAAAAAGAGAGGCCGATGCCGCCGATGCCGAACACAGTTCTGCAACAAAAGCTGTCTTATCATAAGAAGTCATAACCATTAGGTGCGAGCCTGCCTCTAAGAAGGCTGTCTTGATCACGACATGTCATTACCCCTAGAGCCTTTTCCGTTGCACTCTTAACAGCCGAAACCACCAAATGCCTAGCCAACAGCAGCCCAAAAACACTTGGTTCCTCCACACCACCTCCAATCCACTCCATACTTACAAAATTATAACCCAATTATATACCAAAAGAACACTTCAAGCAAACGCTGCAACCACCCATCACAACCCAAACTCCAACCCATCCCACCCATGCCATCACCCATCCTGCGTGCGGATCGCGCCTCTGCGCGATCCGCTCATGGATCTTCGGCTGGGGATGCCCATGGCGGATCACCACCAGCCCCTTGCCGCTGCGACCGCTGCTGTCGCGCAGCAGCGGCAGGAGGACGCGATCAAAGGCAGGCACGAGCTTGTAGAGAGTTTGGGCCACCAAGTAGATAGGCATCACCTCCGTGTTGGAGTGAGATAGCTTTTGGTGGTTTTGGGGTTTGCTGGGACGAAGCCTGGCAAACAAGAAGTTTGGAGGCTGTTTGGGGCAAGGGATTGGACAGATGACCTATGGCGGGGAGCAACGGGCATGGAGAAGCAGACAATCCTGAAGTAGCACGTCCAACAGAGATTAAGTGAGCTGAACTAGGACTCTACTGGGGTATCTAAAGGATAGTCTATAGGGCCAGGGTTGTTCAAGCTCTGCTGGGTACTTGCTAAGTACAAAGACCGATGAAAGAAAGAACGGGGCCTCACCGTGTGAAATGGCAGGGCTGCCATCAAACGCATAGCCCGTGGAAAAAACACATGGCCAGGGATTGACTCCATCCATGTCAGGGATTGACATAGCAAAACCGCAACACTCATGGAGTGAAGCTCTTCATGTTGCCTAGCCGCCCTAGCCAGAATCCTCAACAACATCCGCTTCGTGGTTTGGCATCCCACCAAAATGGGCCAGGATCCCTAGTTTGTGACAGTCACGTCACGGCACGTCATGGCGAATGCCGAGCGAAGCACCGAGGTGTCCGACGACCGAAGGAATCGACCGATCGTTCTGGGGGCCGAAGGAATCGACCGCCCGCCGTTTTGGGTTTGGGCAGGCCAAAGGGCGTGGTTGGAGTCTCCAAAAGGGCATGACACATGGAAATCCATATTTTGACAAAACAAAACAATCGCATAGAGAAAACATGTGTCTTGCTTAAGGATGGCCAAGTAGTATCCTTATAACGTCCTTCTGTTCAACTCCGTGGTACCTTCTATCCCTCTAAAGGTTGAAGACCAAGACCTGATGATCTTCCTCTACAAATCCATTGGCCTTGTAGATAGATTCAGATACAAATATGATTCATCTCAGAGAGATCAAGTGATGGATCCAAGGCTTTTGGACTCTTTCGGGCTGTCTCCTATTGTCTCCTTCTTAAGGCGGATCCTGGATCGGCAGATCTCGGCAGCGCCTTCCAAACGTCCCGGACGCGAAGAACAACGCGACGGAGGGCCAGGTGGTGACCCCCGTGAGCCGTGGCAGACCTCATAGTGCTCCAATGGTGGCCAGTGTGGATTTGAGCAGGTCTTGACCCACTGCCATATCGAGGATGTATTGCATTCTGTGCTTATCCTGCTGGGATCTCAGCAATGGTGGCCAATGGATTTGCCCTGCAGATCGCCGCCAACAGCTGTCCGTCAGGCAAGACCACTCGGAGGCTTGAGAGGCTGACCTGCAGGTCATGCGCAATGCGTTGGTGAGTCTCTACAGCCAGGGCAGACCCTTTGGCCCTTAAGCGTAGCACCTCATGCCCGGCCAAATCCCAGCAAGTCAGACTGGCGGCATCATCTTTGAAAGCAAGACTCAATTGCAAAACATAGTCGACCTTACCACGTGCCAACGGTGTGAAATCACGCAAGTAGCAACGGCTGGCCTTTGCAAGAGTCAAGAGCTCCCGCCAAGATAGCAAAGATGGAATATTGCATTGTCCAGAACTATTGCAGCCACAAGTTATAGCTCTACCATCACTTCGGAGAAGGACTGTATATAACCACCCGGCAGAAACCTGAATGTATGAAATGCCTTTATCCAAAGCTGGAATGTCACATTGTCCGCAATCATTTCTTCCACATGCAACAGCACTACCGTCTTTTCGGAGGAGCACAGAATGGAACCCTCCTGCAGAAACCTGGGTGTAGGACATTCCCTGATCTAAAGGTGGAATGTCACATTGTCCATCACCATTCCATCCACAAGCAACAGCACTGCCATTACTTTGAAGAAGAACTGTATGTTGCCAACCTGCAGAAACCTGGGTGCATGAAACCTTCTCATGAGAAGCTGGAATGTTGCATTGTCCGTAATCATTTCCTCCGCAAGCAAGCGCAGTTCCATCACTCCGGAGAAGAACTGTATGAAAGAATCCTGCAGAAACCTGAGTGTACGACTTTCCTTCGTTTAAAGCTGGAATGTTGCATTGTCCAATCTGATTTTCTCCGCAAGCAACAGCGCGGCCATCACTTCTGAGAAGCACTGTATGATCCCTACCTGCGGAAACCATGGTCAGCCCGAGAATTTGGGCAAAATGTGTGCATTTTGGGCCAAAGCTCTGGAATTGGTTTCTGCATGTTTCTGCTGGTGTGTAGGGCCATCTGCCCACAGAAACTGTTGACAAAGCATGCTCAGGGCAATATGCGAGCGACGTCAGTGTCAGGTGTGGCTAGCGAATCCATGAATACAACATACTACATGCACGTTTCCAAAGACCTCCTTGTCAGCCACCCCCAAACTCAAACCACTGTGTCTTTCCATCTTTCTCTTCAACTCAATCATCGCCCCATCTCTACATCATCCCCTACATCACTCTCCTTCTTTGAGTGGCCTTGCTCCCTAGCTGGCAACTGCCGTGCCCAGCCGGCTTCAGCAGCTGCCGCCATCGGCTCCACGCCATGTCCGGCGCGTCCCGCGCAGGAGTGCCAGCTGTTGAAGTGGACGGAGAAGTCTTCGCACTTGGGAAGAAGTAGGGCAGACCTGCAAGGACTGCAGCGGCAGCCCGCAGTGTGCTGCACAGAGTGCACAGCAAGCAGAGGCCGAGCGCAGCGCACAGTGCGCTCTGTGGACAAAGCAGGTAGACTTGAAGGTAGACTTCACATGATCTATATGAAGGAACATGAAGGAACTCTCTTAATCAGCGGTTAGAACCACTAAAACATGAAGGAACCCTCTTTGGGTTGGATCACTTGAAGGATCTTGAAGGTTGACCCAGATCTTTCGACCAAGGAGCGTTCCCTGTGGTGGGGCTGGGAGCAGTTCACCGAAGTAGAACATCGGTGTTCAGACCCTTCAGATCGTGCGGTCCAAGGAGTCCGAAGGAAACAAATGGAACTGACTCATCCGTTTGCTATGAGGCTTAGATTCTTAGATCGGCTTAGTGTCTTGAACAAGTCAACTGCCCAAATGTTTTCCGTGCGCATGCACAGTTCATCCGTCTGACTTCATCGATCGACAACCAACGGCCGATCGACCCGAAAACGACCCAACCGATCGACTCGCGACGACGACGACGACGACGACGACGACGACGACGACGACGACGACG